ATTTATTTCGCTTCCTATTGAGGTACTAAATATATTCAAATGTTCTTTCATTTTTTTTAATTTTAAAATTTTACTTCAGCATTAGGAGAGAGAGAATAACACAAAGTTCCAATCATAAATAATAGAGTATTTCCCATCAAAGTAATCTTTCTACCAAAAATATCAGCTAATCTTCCAGCAAAAAGAGAACCAAAAGCACTTCCAATTAATAAAGAGGAAGTAACTAAACCAATAATTGCTGGTGATAATTGTAAATCATCGACCATAAACGGCAATGCCCCGTTAATTACACCTTTATTTTGATTTGAAATTTAGGAAATTAAGCAGTTAAACTTCTCTATAAAATACAGTATGGGGCCGAAAATATTATATCTAAGATCGACTATATCCATTTGTTGTGGTTATCACTTACAAAGGAGAGGTGTCCGTAGGACTTCGGTATGAGATTTCGCAGACAGTAGATTATACCTTACTCCAGTTGTGAAATTTGCACCATTTTTGCAACCTACATCCCACTCCTCTCCTCCAGGGACCATCAAATTTTTAAAACCCCGCATCTCAAAAAGGGGTTTATCCATCTAATATTGCTTGTATCTTATAATTAGTCCGATTGTATGTATATTTTAATAAAAATATTTAAATTATAATTTATTAACATACCAGTACTATAACCAAGAAGGAAACTACAAAAAGCACATATCCACGCTACTTTATTTAAATAAGGATTTACTTGTGGGGCAGTCTGTAAATTAAACAAAATTTAAAATATCAAATATATTGGGTTTAGAAGACTTGTTTTTAATTTTCTTGAGATAAATTTCCTTATTAATTTTGAATAAAAAGGGGATAAATAAAGAGTAAAATATTTAATTATTTAATTAATATTTAATTAATCTTTTTAACCTTTTGTATTATTTTTAACTCTAAATCTTTTTCAGATTTAGTTTCTTTTTCTTCTTCCAATTTTGTTTCATTTAAATTTTCTTGAGTATTTTGTTTTTCATTTTGTGGCGGAATTAATATTTTTAAATTATCATTAGAATTACAAGAATTATCAGAATTTAATGTATTATTGTTTAGTTCAGTCATTTTAAATGGAAATAATTTTGAATGTTTAACTAAATAAATATATTTATTCAGTTAAATATATATACAAGATTTAAATACATATATTTAACTAAAATACTCTTTGGGACGAAATGTTAAAAAAAAAGTTTTTTACCCCAAAAATGAAATAAAATTGTTTAGATTTAAATATATATATTTAATGTCATAAGTTAATAATAATCAAAATTATTATAAAAATTCATAGAGGTGAAAATACAAAAAATATACATAATATATATTTTTTTCAACAATTTTAGTGATCGAAGTTCTCTTACTATTTTCTGCCAAAATAATTTAAAAATTTTTTTGTATTTATTTTCTGCTAAAAATGTGGAAATGTCGGTGTAAATATAAAAATATTTTTATTAGAAATTTTAAAATTAAAAATAGATATTTTATAGTTTTTAAGCTAAAAAAAGTTTTTTGCAAAAAATGAAATAAAATTGTTTACAAATATTTTGGCTTAAAAAAAAAGTTAAAATGAAGGAATTTAATTTTAAAAATTTTTTAGTCAAGTTTGAGTTAAAAATTAAAATATTTTTTTTAAATATTAAATAACCAAAAAAATATTATCTTTATATTTTTTTCATTTTTAATAATAAAGTGCATGTATTAAAAAAAGTTGAAAAATTAAAAAAAGTTGTTATTAAAAAAAGTTGAAAAATATGTAATTTTTATTTAAGATTTACATAATTTTCTAAAATAATTTAAAGTAAAAATGTTTATTTAAAAATAATCTACAAAAATTTATCTCAATTGATTTCACGTGAAAATACATAAATTTTAAAGTTTGTAAAAAATAGTTGAAGTGTACAAATAAATATTTTTTAAATGAAAAAATGAAGAATAAATGAGAAGAAGAGCTTTGGTTATTTGAAATTTAATACTTAAAAATTATAAAAATATTGTTTTGAATTTTTGTTTTTATTTTGCTCTTATCAGTGAGCAGTACAAGTATCTTTTCCTAACTCCGAGAATAAATTTTAAAAAATCAAAAAATTTTATGATTTTCTGAGCTATAAAACATCAAAAATTAGTTAAACATCAAAATAACTCTTCGGTTTGTAGACTCGTTTTATTATTGAAACACCCAGTAAAGTCAGATTTTTCTCCTTAGATGGCCAAGCCATTACTTTATATCTTACATAAAAAAACTTTTTAAATTTATTCTATGAGCAACTTTAAGGTATAAAAAATAAACTAATAGTGATTAAGGTCAAAAATATTCAGTACATTTTTTAGATTAAATAATTTGGTATTCTAATTTATATTTTAAGAAAAATTTTTGTTGATTTCACCAAGAATGTTAATAAAGTAAATGACACCTTAATCAAAAATTTTTTTATTATTTGATATCCATTTTTAATAATTTATATACAATTTGCTAATTTCTTACAAAAAATAATTATTAAAAAAATAATTTTCAAAATAAAATATTTAATTTTTATTTAATTCTATTCTTGGACCTATCGGGGATTTATGTGAAGCCCACAAAAAATCAGGTAATTCATTTGGCCAATAAATTTTATCGTTTTCTTTTCTGTCAAATATTTCCAATCCCGCCCAAGCAATCTTAAAAAACAAAAATTATTTTTCTTAAAAAATATTTAATTTAAATTTACCATAACCCCGTTATCTGTGCAAAAATGTGGAGGAGGTACTAAAACTGTAAAATTGTGGGAATTACATATTTCTGAAATTTGTTGAAAAATATAATTATTTGATGCAACACCCCCAGCCAAAACTAAATATTTTTTTAAAAGATTTGTAAATTCAGGAAATGAAGAAATTAAGGACAAAATCAAATTTAAATGTTGACAAATATATTCGCCAATTGTGTGCTTAAATTAAAAAATTTAAATTAATTTGTAGTTAGGTTATATAAAATCCAAAACAAAAAATCCTTCCAATGTCATAATTTCCAAAAATATTAAGAGAAATCCGTCCCTAATCTGTTAATTAATATTCACTCAATTTTAATTTTCGTGACATTTTTCACTTAAATTCTTGAGACCAAAATATTTCTTTCAAAAACATTTCTTTACTTGAATTGCAGCACATAAATCAACAATTTCATCATTTCTGTTGTTCTTTAATTTATCTCTAATTATTCTTAGATAACGCCCTTTAATTAAATCAAAATCCAAATCTTGAGATATATCAGCCTTTGGAAGAGTTAAAGTATAATGAGGTTTATCTAGATTTCCTTTTATATAACTATAAATTAATATTTTTAAATTATTAAATAATTATTTTATTTCACCTCTTTGCAATTTGTTCTAGCGCAACTCCAAAATGCCCTGATAGATTAAAAAAATATAAAATTGTTTAGATTAAGGAAAAATAATTTATCTGATTTAGATCCAAATTTATTATTGCAAGGATGTAATACAGAAATGGAATGAGACTAGGGTTGCCTCCTTTTTTGCCCCCTTTTTGGTTGATTTCGCCCCCTTTTGGGAGGCTATGCCTCCTTTTGGTGATTTGTAAAGGGACACCCTGAATGAGACTCCTCCTCCAAGTATTAAATCATTTACTTTTACCATTTAACTGTTGTAAGCCTAATTCTCTGGCTAATTTATCCAAACATTCTCCAGGACTTCCACTCTTCGTATCCAACAAAATTTTGAAGTCCACAGGGCTATAAACAATACAAAGAATACAATGGCCACCAGAAATAAGAAGAGAAATAAAAGGATAATTTAATTCAGAAAATAATAAACGAGCGATTAAAGCGTGAGCACGCATGTGATGAATTGGTATAAGTGGGCGATGATATTTTCTATAAAAAATTAGAAATTATTAAATTTTTTACATATTTCCAAGAATTAACAAAATAATGAGTCCAACTCTTTTACCATTAATTATCAAAAATGACCCTTCAAAATATCACTCAGTATCTTTTAAATCTACAACAATTAGCTAATATATTAATTTCACTATTTAAAATAATCACAAACAAATTAAAATATTAAAAACCTAGCAAAACAAATAGCATGTTCTATTCCAACTTTTAAACTGGTAACCAACCCTGGCCTATTAGTTACAGCAACAACGTCTACATCATAGGCTCGCATTTTACACTCGGCAAGAGCATCACGTATTAAGCGGGGAAGTGCTTCTCTATGCTATTTAAATTTTTTTTATTTTCTTAGCTTAGAGAGACAAAAACCCCCTTACATGCCTTGCCGAAGAATGAGGGCTAATTCCTCCCATTCGAGAATTTGTTTTAAAGTCAGAACTTCGAATATCGCAAAGTATTCTCCTTTTTTCTTGACAAATAATCGAAACAGCCGCATCATCACAACTTTGTTTTAAATAATTTTAAAAATATTTTTGAGGAAAAAACCTTGATTCAATACCCAAAATATGTAAATTTTGTTTAAATTTGAAACGAAAATGAAGGAATTCGAAAACTAATCTTTTTAAAATAAAATTCTTGTTGAACATAAAATTTTAAAAATTCAGAGTAATTAACCTTTTATGTATGTGAAGAAAAAATTAAAATAATTTTAGGAAATTTAAGTAAATAGAAATACAGTCAATTAATAATTTAACTCTAATTTGCACCAAAAATTTATCCAAATATTTTATATAAATTAAGAACTAAGAACAAAATTGAAGGATGGCGTAGACATTAAGATTTGTTTTGGATATTTTCTAGCTAAGGGCCCAGAAAATAACAGCTTTAGTTAAGCCAAAAATAATTTAGCATCTAAATTAATACCAAATTATTTTGGTCATTTAAACTTTAAATTCTACTACGCCTAGTGGAATAATGACAAATAATTGGGAATGAACAACAAATTTCAAAAAACAAAATAAAGCAAAAAATGCAAGTTAAACAAAAAAAAAGTAAACCTTAAATAATTAAAAACATAGGTATATTCAATTTACGTCAAGCAAAGAGCACCGCTAACTTCAATTAAAAAACTTTCAAATTTAATTTGAAAATTTCGTTTCTTTGAAGCTGTAAAATTTCTAGGAGTTGCTTCATCATCTGACGATGTTGTTAAGAGTTTTGTAAATGCCTGTTCTAATGCAGGTTTATTTTCAACGTTTGAGGGAAGTGAGAGAAGTTGATTTAAATAAGCTTTGAAGGAATCCTAAAAAGTTTTAGATATTTTTAAATCAAAAAATAATTTGTTGGCTAGAGGGATATTATACTGGAGCAAGGGCGTAGCCAGGGGTCTGGGGCTATAGCCTCCCCCTGAAATGCCGAGAAGGGAAAAATATTGTGAGAAAGATGTAGGAAAAATGAAATTCTCAGTTTTCGCCTGCAATCCCCCTGAAATCAACCCCCTGGCTACGCCCTTGTACTGGAAAACGATGGAAAAAGGATTTAGAGTAAATGAATTCTAAAAGATAACGGATCTAACCGAAACTATGAAAGGCAAAGCAAGAAAAATAATCTCACATCAACGGAAATTAAAAAATCACCTGATTTAGTCCAATTAAAGTAAAAAGAGTGCTTGTTGCTTCATTAAAAATTTCAAGTTCACAACTAAATTGCATTGCCAATTCAAATATTTTCTAAAATTATAATTTAAACAAAAATTTAATTTTTAAAATAACCGGAATAAATTTCAGAATATTTTCTGCTAATAAAGGGCTGACTTGTTGACCTTTCTGAATTTGTAATAAGCAATGAGAAGCAAAATTGTTAACAATTTCTAATGCAGAACGAACTCGTTCAATACCAAAAGTATTGTCTAAAGCTGATTGAACACATCCAAGAAATCCATTAAGCATTTGTTCAGAGACTTGAACAATTGCCTCAGGAGCAATATCAGAAATGAAAATTAATAAACGGAAGAAAGAAGTACAAAGTAAAGGAATTTTTAATAAATCTTCGCTCATCATTGGCAATAAAATTTCAAGGCCTTGAGAAATCAAAAGTTAATTGATTTTCATTAAGTTTACCGTGAAGGGAAACTTTTGCTGAATCTATAGCAGAAGCTTCTGACAAATCTAAGGGAAGGTAGGTTTTAGTTATAGCCAAACATAAAATTTCAATAAAAGTTGTCAAATCTTGAGTTTGTTGTTCATCATCTGTTGCATTCTCAAAAGAAGCAAATCTTTGAAGTTGAGTATCCTGAAACAAAAATTAAAAAAGAATGAGAGAAATTTTTGGAAATAAAGCAGAATATAAGTACAGAATTAGTTTAAAAAATTAAAATTGTTCACATAGTAGAAGATTAAATGACAGAAGAGCGTAACCAGGGATTTGTAGTTCCCAATTCGCTGAAATGGGGAAAAGCAAAGATTCGTGGGGATCAAAAAACTTTTACTCCTACGGTCTTGAGCAAAATTTATGCTAACGTAAGAACGCAAAGGCTTACAAGGAACCATATCGAACTGTCAGGAAAAATTTTCAAATAAAAATTATACCATCGTGTAGAGCATTGAAAAAAACTTCATACGTATTTTTTCTTTTTTGGCCCTAACCCCCATTTCGAAAAGTTATAGGGCTTCAAAGTTTTCGAATTTTGGAGCGGTTGAGTCGCCCTCACTTTTCTTATTATTTGCTTCCCAAGGAGAAAAATGAGACTCCTCTTCTCAATTTTTCCTTTCCTTTTCTTTTCGCATGTTTGTTAAAGAAAGAGAAAAGGAGGAAAGAGAAAAGAAAGGAAAAGGCTACTCTGCCTTTCTTCCATTGCGGATTAAAAACGAAAGAGGAGACGACAGAGTAGCCTTTTCCTTTTCTTTTCTCTCTCCTCCTTTTCTCTTTCTTTAACAAACATGGGAAAAGAAAAGGAAAGGAGAAAAGGAAGATGGGAGTCTTATTTTTCTCCTTAATAAAAAAAAAATTTCTCTTTATGGGGGCGACTCAACCGCTCCAAAATTCGAAAACTTTGAAGCCCTATAACTTTTCGAAATGGGGGTTAGGGCCAAAAAAGAAAAAATACGTATGAAGTTTTTTTCCATGCTCTACACGATGTTATAATTTTTATTTGAAAATTTTTCCTGACAGTTCGATATGGTTCCTTGTTAGCTCAGCTCACATCTAATACGAAAAATGTTAACCTTGTAAGCATTAATAACACCAATTAATAAATTATGATATGACTGAATATCTTCTTTTGATTCAACTTAAATTTAAATGTTTAAAAAAATAATTTAAAAATAAAAACCGTAAAAGAAAAGGACATCGGTATTTGATTTTAAAAAGGCCAAAATAGAAACAATTAATGGTTGAGATTGAGAACAGCTTCTAATTAATGGAATACAACGTTCATAAACTGGTTGAAGAAATTCTTTAAATATTCAAAAAAAATTAATTTAATTAAATTCCAAAACAAACTAAATAAAGTTCGAGCAGTATCTGCTTGTCCAGCATCTGCAATACCAGTAAAACACTCAAAAAGATCAGTTAAACGAGAATTAACAACAGAGTCTCTAGCCTCACAAAGAGCCAAAAAGCGTTGAATTAATGGTTCAAGTATCTAAAAATTTAATAAATTATTTTCTTCAAGTGAATCCAAAAATTGCGTAAAACGTCTACAAAATAGATAAAAAAATTTATTTTCTGCAGTTCCAATTTAAAAACTATACCGTTTCATGAATCCGTTGTCTCAAAATTGGTAATTCAAGCATCCCACCCATTAAAACAATTGCTTTAACAAATTGACGTCGAGCAGGTAGATTTGCTAAAAAAAGAATTTATATATCCTAAATATTATTAAAATATCCATACAAAAATCAATCCCACTGAACAAAGAATATAAATTCTCATTTTCTGCCAATTCAAGTGGCCGATATTCAGCTAGACTTATAAGTAATTTTATAACATCCGAACATAACCTAATGAAATTTTTTATAAATTTATTAAATAAAGCTAAAAAAACCTCTTTTCGCCAGGCATTTTAGTTAAAATTGTAAACATTTTTTCCAAAGACATTTGAATTATTTGAGCTGACAGAGCACTTTTTGGCGGAATTGAAGGTAAATATTTAACAGATATTCTTGATTGATCTTCTCCCCAATTATCTTCTTCACTTTCTTTTGCGAAAGAAGAATCTTCCTCAAGTGAAGAACTTGGAGGGGTTAGAACAATCATTAAAAGTGAAAATTGCCAAAGAGAAGTTTGACAAAGTGTTGGACTTAACAAAGAAGCATTTGGATCCAATTTAATAAGCATTTGATGTTCTAAAGAAAACCAGCTTAGAATTTGTGTTGAAATCCTAGAAAATTTTTAAAACAATTAACAGAATCCAAACTAATTGAGTAATTATAAAAATATTAGAGGAGTTATTACCAAGCAGAGGTGGGTCGGAACAGTCAGAGGTGTCGGAAATCGGAACTGGCTTAAAAGTCGGAACTCGGAAATCGAAATTTTTTTAGGAAATCGGAAAAAAAAACGTCGGAAATCGAAATTCCGACCCACCACTGTCACCAAGTCTTTAAAAAATTAAAATAGAATAGGAAATTATCGAGATTAATATTTTTGAAAAAAATTACAAGGTAACAGGATCCAATCTCCCTGGATAATTTGCAGGATTAAATGGCGGGTTATCAATACAATTTTGGAAAAGAGGCGAAAAATCATCAAATTTTGTAAATTCGCCAGATTGATATCCTTTCAGACCTTAAAAATAGAATAATTAAAAATATTTTAAAAAATAAAAAACATTTCAAAGCCAATTCTTCAGGAATATTTCCAATATAACTATATGAGTTATGACGAATAAAATGACCTTTAATTGGAAAACTTAAAATATAAAAAATTGATTAAATAACCAATTATAAGTAAAATCCAATGAAAGTCTTCTTGCCAGATTTCCAATTGTTTTGAATCAACAGTTTGTAAATCTAATGAGGTTAATTCGTTCAGACGTTGAACAATTGCACTAAATTATTTAAATGAATGAAATTAAAATAAAGTAAAACCGTGTAACAAAATCAACAAAATAATCTATAGAATATAAACAAAAAAATCCAATATCACAAAGTATATCCATAAACACAATTCTGTCGTCTTCTTCATCTTCGTTTTCATCATAAATTTCACCGGATGTTGGCTAAAATTTTTAATAGAATATTTGTCTATTTTATGAATAAACTATGCAATAATTAATGTAGAAGAATGGAAAAGACTTTGGAAAAAATTTTTAAAAATATAAATTCTTATTTTAGCTCCTTTTACACCGCAGGCAAAAATTATAAAAATTTTATCGGGCCCAGTCACAAAGTTTTCGCTTTGAATTAATCTCTCTCATGAATTTTAAATAGGTATTTTCACATTTAGGGAGAGATACTATTATTTCTATAAAGTACTTTTCCTATTAAAAAATCCCACCTTTTCACGATTTCCAAATGGCGGCGAAAGCACAGACTTAATAAAAGTCTCAATAATAGCAACATTATGGGATTCAATCAGGACCGAAATATTTTCTTTAAAAATGTGAGCTGAACGGAGAAGTGGGCGCCAAACTTGGAAGAGATTGCCTAACGCTGAGCTATATGTCTGGTCGTTTTTCTGAATTAAAAAATAAAAATAGTTAGAAATAAAATTAAAAAAAACCATTGCCAAGAATATTGTAGGTTGAGTAAGTTTTAAAATATTTTTTGCAACAAAATCAACAAAACGATGCAACAATTCATCAGGAAAACGTTCAAAAATCAAAATTGGATGGCAAGTGAATAATTTGTAAATAACCAGACTAAGTGAAACCATTTCGTGATCAAGTACCATACTGAAAAATTATTTTATAAAAATTTTAAAGTTTAATGAACTAGAAGCGGGAAAGCAATTTAGCCCAAAAATAATTTTTATTTTATTTAAAAGATAAAAAATGCATTTATTGAGTCCATTAGTTCAAAAAACAAGGGGTGATCTAATGTCATAAAGCATAAATCACTTACTCAGAAAATAAATCAATCATTTGAGTAACAAACGTTTGAACATATAGATCATGCAGAATTGGTTTTCTACTAGATACTGGTTCATCTATACCACCCATAACAGTTGCCAGCCGTCGTTCACCCAAATTGCCAACTAAAGGCATGACAACAGCAATTGGTCCAGAAGGTCCAAGAGCATCACCAATAAGAGAGGCTAGCTGGGTTAAACAAACCATTGAATTTTCACAAAGTCTTTCATTAAAACGAATTCGTGAGTGCATCTAATAATTAAAAATGAATAAATAAAAAAATAAAAAAAACCTGCATAAAGAAAGTAATTATTGAAGTATCTTTAAACAATTCATGCCAAGATTCTGGTGGTCGAAAAGTGTTAGACCGAAGGGCTGATATAATTACTTTAAAATGTAAATATAAATATTTTGGCGAAAAATTCCAGCAGAAAATTAAAGAAGCAACTCTTAAAAATTTGTCACAAATTTGTTGTTCAATAATTGAATTGAGATCAGGAGAAGTTGACAAAAGATTAGAAAGTGTACGAAGAGAAAGTTGCATAAGTTGTTTGAGTAAAACATCCTAAAAAGAATAAAATTTGAAAGAGAGAAAACAAAACAAAAATATAAAAAATACTTAAGATTAGAGTGCGGACGGGACTGGATCCCGAACGGAATTTTCGGGATCCTGTCCCAAAATCCCGTAATTTAAGCAACGAACAGGATTATCGAAATTAATCCCGCAGGATCCTGTCCCGTAAAAATTTTGAAAAAATCCCGTTACGGCATCACGAGAATGCGATTTTTCGCACTCACTTAAGATTTAAAAAATAAAAAAATAAAAATTATAAAATCAGTATTTTTGCTGAAAAATCAATTCCAAAAATTATATTATAACCCGTAAAAGTTAACTAATCAAAATTTAAGAAGTATTTAAAGAGACAAAAAATAAAAGTTTAAAAAACCTCAAATTGTTTCTTCGCATTTAAATGAAAATCCCAAGTTATAGATATATTTGAAGAACGCCAGATAGTAGAAAATTCAGTAGCGACTAATTCAATTATTTGTAAACCAAAAGATTGCTAAAATTAGAAAAATGAAAGAAAATTTAAAAATATTAAAAACCAATTTTTGATTTTCATTATTAAAAAAAGTTTCCAGAATTGAAAGTAAATCGGCAAAAGTATTTTCATGAGCAACTAAACTATTTCTTTTTATAATCATTGCAGCTATAAATTTATTAAATTTTATAAAAAATAAAAAAGTTTTTTATTTTAGACCTGAATGAAACATTTCTGTTGAAACAAAATTTGGAAGACTAAAAAAGAATTTTTTATAAAAAAAAATAATAAATTAAAAGGAAACATTTTCTAATTAAAATTAAACGGTAATATTGGACCGGACAGACCCCCTTTTTTCATCCCCAATTTTCCCCTATATTTTCCTCCTTTTACTTGTTTTTGGCAGGTACTTGGACTTGCATAAAATTAAATAATCCTTTTTGTTTGATTATAGGCAAAAATTAGAAAAGCAATTTGGACCATTTTGCAAAAATATAGGGGAAAAATTGGGGAGGAAAAAAGGAGGTCTGTCCGGTTCAATAGCACCAATTAACTAAAGAAAAATCTTAAAATTAAAAAAAACAAACTCTTGATGGACTACAGGGAAATTCAATAGATATAAAGCAATATTGCGTATGTCTTCCTGATTAAATTTGGCCCATTCCTTCAACATCCTTGCAACAAGTGAACGAGCCAATTCGAACATTAAAAAGTGATTTTGTGTAGTTTCTAAAATTTGTCTGCAAGAATCGACGGAAAGAGCTCCCTCACGCAATCTCATAAAAAAAGCTTCGGCATCTTTTCTGTCTTGAAAACTGACTTGGCTTGGTGGAGCCTAAAAAAATTAATAAAATAAAAATTATGTGTAAAATTACCATGATTAAATGAGCAGCTAACTCTAATTTTGAAATATCTTCCATTTTTAAATATTAAAAATGAATTCTAAAAATAATGGAACGTCCAAATCTGAATTTTATAAAGCGTGAAATTAGCTTCAGAAAATACCCAAGTATTTGGAAATATTCGCAAGGGCAAAACTCGTTAGGGCCACTTAAGCGCAACTATTTTAACACAAAAAGATAATAAGAAGGATGACTAATACAAGTGAGGAATTTTACGAGAAATTCTACATGAGACATTAAGGCAGAGGGGATAGGATAATGCTATTATTTAAGCATTGATCACAAATGACTGAAAAGGACTCCAAATCCCCTAAAACCCAAGACTCGTTTCGTTGTTCGTTAAAATCTCATTTTTAAGTTATCTAAAGATAAGACAAAGTTTTAAAACTTTTCTACCTTTCAAAAAAATTTTTGAGCAAGTCTTTATCAATTCATAAAAATTCATCAATTGTATGGACAGGAAAATAAATTTTTTCATCAATTATAGGGTCAAAAAAATAAATTATTTTTAAATAAAACAAAATTATACGCATTCAAAAAAATTTTCTTTTCATCATATCATTTAAAGCTTAAGGAAGTACCACACTCATTCTTCTTCTCTTCGTCAACTGGTTCAAGTCTTCCCGTTTTTGTCGTACTAGTCAAGGTTGTTTCTTGCAAATTACACTTTAAATGTATCAGACGAAACAAGTGACGAGACAAATGAAGAATCCAAAAATGAATCACGCCGTTTATAGTTGACATCCTTTTTGGAGTAATCAAACCCTTCTGCTCTTCAAAAAGTTTTTTAGGCGGAGGGATGTAAACAAGATTTTCATTCAATTCAGAACCTAAAAGCTTGCGTTTTGGAGTTTTTCCTAAATTTTAAATTTCAAAATTGAGACATTTTTTAAATTAACCTGGAGACTGAATTTGAACAAATTCCTTTTCAACAAAATTCTCCATCTTTTGTGTAGTGTTGTCAAATAATTGTGACATATCTGATGAATATGACGCACCATCATTAACCTAATTTTTTTGTTATTATGCAAATTTAAAATTCTTTTATGAACCTGTTTAATCATTGTTGACAATGTGCTGTGAATAGCCTTTCCGAATTCATTTTTATGTTCAGTCGCAACATTTTTAAAAGAATCCAATTCTTGATTTACGCGATCACGGAAATCTTGGGTAAACTGGAAAATGTGATAAAAAGATAATTAAAAATATTTTACAAAAAATTTACCTTTGCAAAATTTTGCTCAAATTTATCAGAAATCTCGTTCAACGCACAAACAGCTGTTTTTGCCTCGTTCAGTTGCGCCTCTGACTTGTTAGTGAAGCTTGTAAGTTGATTTCTTCCAATTTCAAATTGTTTGTATTGACCATCAAACAGCTATTTCAGTTTTTGGTAGTTTCCATCGAATGTTGTCAACTTAAAGTATTTTATAATTTTAAGCAAAATCGAAAATTTAAGGAAGAAACTAACCACTTCATCGATCTTGCTAAAAAGCAATCCGTTTCGGTCATACAGTCCATTACCATAAATTTGCAACTTAAAAATAAAATTTAAAAAATCAAAAATATTAGAGAAAAACCTTCAATGCTTGAGATCTGAGACAAACAGAGGAATCATAAGAAACTGAAAGAGCCTGTGAAGCAGCGTTGTAATTATCCTCCATTTGAGCGATTTCCTTTAATAAAACTTTTTATTGGACTTCAAAAAATAATTACCAGGCTTAATTCTTCAATTTCTTCCTTTCTGCCTTCCAATTTAGTCAATGCAGTTCGAAATTTGTCATAAATTGACTTGTAATGTTGATCCATGACAGCAAAATCTCCAACCAACTTAAATTTTTAAAAGCAATTAGTGATATAAAGTCAAAAAATTTACAATTTGAACTTGGCGATCCTTTTCCTCAAGTTGCGTTTCCAATTCCACCACCTTTGCCTTATTCTGACTTATTGTTCCAATCATTTCACTAAAAATAAATTTATTATAATGAAGATTTAAAAAATCCACATACTCATAATTCTCCTTATCCAAATGAATTCCATGTTTCCCCCTAGCAGCGAGAAGATCACGACGAATGTGATATATTTCATCATTGTATTATTTGAGAAGGCCACGTCGCGTAATTCGTTGGTTGACTTCTGGATTGTTCATTGTTCTTAGCTCTTTGAGCATAATCCAAAGTGTTGCCAGATTTCTGAAATTTATTTAAATTTTAATTCTATTAAATTATAATAAACATCAAAGTTCGAGGAAGCTGGAGATATTGTTGCGATGATTGTAGTAATTGTCTTGCCACCCAAAGAATCTTGTAAAATACGTGTCAGTTTGCTTTCGCGATAAGGAATGTGTGAAGCATTCATAGTCAATGCATTGATTACACGTCCGAGCGGCAACAAACTTGTGTTTATGTTTACTATTTTTAATAAATATAGACAGAATTAAAAAACAAAAAATACCCGCTTCTCTAGCTCGAATATCTGTCGCGCCAGAGCGTCCAATATTTTCAGAACCAGCAAGATCCACCAAATTAAGCTTTCCTTGTCGAAACAGCTCTTCACCATTTACTAGGTCGGGCTCTCGAATCTAATTTCAATTATTAAAATTGAAAAGATTTTTAAAAACTCACCATAACAGAAACAGTGAAGACAGAATGAGAACGGCTAAAATAAACAAAATATAGTTATGTATAAACATAAGTATAAAAGAACCTAGATGTCATGTTCATAAAAGTTTTAGCTTTATGACGCTTCTCAGCTCCACGTCTAAGCAATTCGTGAACTTCCTTAATCGAGCTGACAATCACATCCTCAGCATCATAAATATATACTCCCTTCAAAATAATAAAATTTAATCTCGTTTTTTCGAATTGAAAATAAACCTTAGTTTTATCATCAAAAATTCTCAATAATTCCAATTGTGATTCAGTCTGATTCAGCAAATCAAAAATTTGTTCATTGTAAATCTCTACATAACCAACGCGCACAGTGTAGTCAATATATTCGCCAAGTACAGAAAAAATTTGCTGAAGAGCTCGCGGAATCATTCCGGCTGTTGAATCAGTGTTACATGCGAAGTCTTCAGAAGTATCATGTTGCCCTTCCATTGTATAGGTCTTTCCACTTCCTGTTTGACCATAAGCAAAAACTGTGCAATTGTAACCATTAATCACGGAATCAATCAGAGGGGCAGAAACACCCTCGTAAACATCCACTTGGGTAGATTCAGTGCCAAAGATCTAAAAAAATATTTGAATTATTAAAAAAACCAGTTACAAACCTTATCAAAAGGTCCAAAACATTTTTGTCCTTGACCGAATCGTGAAGAATCAGATAAGCAAATAGCTTTTAGCGAAACAGTCCTTGCTACACGGTCACACGAAACAATGTTTTTGTTACACATAAATAGAGCGTTCAGTATCGCTTAACGGTCTTAAAAAACGTTTTTTATTTCGAATCAAATACAAACGAAAAATTAGAGGAAACTAAAATTCAAACTTAGAACCTGATTCTACAGCAACTTGAACATTTTTTCTTTTAATAGTCTTATCTTTAGATTTCATTGCTGACATAATTATCACTGATATCAAGTTATCAAGGAAAAAGTAAAATAAGAAGTGAACGCTAAAAATATAATTTATAACTTATATGGTTTAGGCACGTTTTTTTAGTCACGCCCTTTTTTCCTTTTCCAGCGTTATTCTTTTACTCTTTTTCCTCTCAACCATCGATCAATCGAGTTGAGGTCATTTTTTGTTTAAGATAGAGCTGATTCGGATGACGTCATCGAGCTGGACTGAGACGCGTGACAATAAAATCGGTCCGTGAGAAAAAAAGCGTAACTAAACCATACAAGTTCCTTTAAATTTTCATTTTAAAAAATTGATTTAAAAAAAATAGACGCGCATCCTTAAATCAAGAGAAAATTTTCCGCGACAAAATGAAGCGGTCTTGGACGATTCAAAGCGGCCGATTCAGAGTAGAATTGTGCTTATTTTTTCTTTTAAAGTTGGGAGCTGACATCGGGCCGTTTCTCGTTCCTTTTTTTTGGCTTGATAATTATAGTGATGAGTAATCTTTGTTTTAATTTTAGCTTTAAACATTCTAATTTGTAAAAAATGATTTCATCACTTAAAAATCTGCAACCAATTGAGCAAAACAGCTATTTTGATCGTGAACAAGTTTCAGCTACGGAATTGAATAGATTTTTTGACATTGGTATTTTAATAATTTTAACTAGAAGAAATTTTTTTCATTTTACAGGTCTCGAAAGCATTTCTCGAGGAAAGTTAGCCGTGATAACACTTGCTGGTGGACAAGCTAGTCGACTTGGATCTTCCCTTCCAAAAGGCATTATTAACCTGGGAACTGGACTTGGGGCAGAAAATGATTCTCTTCTGTTTTTACAAGCTTGTCAAATAAGCTATCTCCAAAAGAAGGCTAAAGGAAGAATTATTTGGTTAATAATGACAAGCAAAGCGACAGATGCAAAAATACGTGAACATTTGGATATTATTTTGGAAAAGACAAATTTGGATTGGAAAAATGTATGAGTTTTTTAAATAGAATTGTAAGGAAATCCGTGTGGATACTTGTCTTGTGGACATGTTTTTCCCTTGCGCAATATGCAAAACAAGTTTATGTTTAAATTTTTAGGTAATGGTTTTTATTCAAAATGAAATTCCTGCTCACGATTTTGATGGACAACCTCTTTTATCTGCACCTGATCGACCTGTCACTTCACCAGGTTTTTAAAAAAAATTTTAGACGATTTCAAGAAAAAAAATTTCTAGATGGAAATGGCGGTATTTATCAAGCAATTTCGCCAAAGCTTCCAGAACTTGAAGAGCTGGGAATTGAATACTTTCATGTTTATTGTGTTGACAATATTCTTTGTCGTGTTCCTGATTTACATATGATTGGCTTTGCTGTTGATAAAAAGGCTGATTGTGTTTTGAAGGTTTTTTTGCTTTTTGCTACACTTCGGACACATATTTATAGTAGAATAGACTTCAAAGGGATTCCGTAGGTTTTTCTGGTATATTTTTTTGGGCCGTGGGCCACAGCAACAAGTTTCAATTTTATATGTAATTCACATTTGTAAAGGGATCCTTTGCCCTTTCAAAGACATTTTTGACTTTTTAAGAAACAAAAGCCTTTTAATTCATTGTTTAAAAACAATTTAAGGTAATCGAGAAAAAGGATCCTTCAGAAAAAGTTGGCCATGTTTGCGTTGAAGATGGAAAAATTAAAGTATTAGAATATTCAGAAATCGCAAAAGAACTGGCTGAAAAACGTGATCCAAAATTTCCGGAGAGATTGTTCTTCCGTGCTGGGAATATTGCCAATCACTTTTTTACTCTCGACTTTCTTAAAAAAGCTTGTTTGGAATTCAATTCTCTGCCTTATCATGAAGCACGCAAACGAATACCTTATTGGGATCCTGTCACTGGAAAAAACGTTCAACCAACTAGTGAGAATGGAATAAAGAAGGAACGTTTTATTTTTGATGCTTTCATCCATTCAAAGTTTGTTTTTGTTAAAAATATTAAATTTGGAATAAGATTGCAGTTTAGGGAAGGGTGGTCTGGTAATAGTCTCGTTTCCCAGCCCCATTTTTTCCTCCCAATTTTTCACCCTATGTTTGTACGGAATGGTCAAATTTTTCCCTTTCTTTCACCAAATTTGCCTTTCCATATTTTGCCTAAAAACAATCAAAAAGATTAATTTTTCCTTCTATAATAGCCAGAAAACATTTTCCATGCTTGGTGTTTCTCCTTGTGAAAGAACTGAATAAAAAATTAATCTTTTTGATTGTTTTTAGGCAAAATATGGAAAGGCAAATTTGATGAAAGAAAGGGGAAAATTTGACCATTCCGTACAAACATAGGGTGAAAAATTGGGAGGAAAAAATGGGGCTGGGAAACGAGACTATTACCGGTGGTCTTTTTCTTATTCTAGATGAGTGGGTTAATGGGGAAATATGGATATAAGAGGTTTTATTGATCTGACAAAATACTTCGTTCTACAATAAGTTTAAGATAATTCCCAGTATTGAATTTTTAGGTGCCCGAATTAATTTAGACAACATAAGATCTCCTGGTGTTGAAAATCTATTTTTTATTTTCAGAAATTTTATGGTCTGGCAAGTACCCCGTGAAGAAGAATTTAGTCCATTGAAAAATCCAGACTCTGCAGGTGTTGATTGTCTCTCAACTTGTATTCGTGACTTTACCTCTGTTAATGGAAATGTGATTAGAGAAATGGTTAAAGAATTTTGTAAGAAGGAATGAACAGATTTTAATTAATGGTTGTTTTTTAGTATTTATTTGATTTTTAAATTTCTATTTATTACGGGAATAAGTTGCCAGCTTTTCACTTAGGACTTTCTTTACGTTTTTCACGTTTTTCTACTTAAATGTTGATATTATAGACTATTTATGCGTCACGGCACTTGTGGCTCACTATTGGGGTTAAAAGTTTGAACTTATTTTAGTAGGGGAAACGAATAAAATTACAGGTTTTGGTTCCAAATCAGCAATATTAAAATTGAATTGCAAATTTTAATTTTATTACTTTAATCAGAGTCACAAGTGCTGTGCTATATCTTTTATTGACCTTAAACAAAAGCTTTATTTTCTAAAAAAATTATGGCAAAATAAAATTTTATAAAATTTTATAAAATTTCAAAATAAAATTTTTTTCAAAATTTTTAAAAACTAGTTGGTGGGGGAATTGTACAGTCGTCGCCAACGACAATATTTTTTACTTTATGGATTTAAAAAATTTGTAACAAATTTTAAGGTAATGCTTGTAACAAACATTTAAAAAAAGTTAACAATTCAATTTAAAAATTTTTAAACATTAGTTAAGAATTAAAGTTGGAATAATTTGTACATACCTATAATGCAAATAATTGTAATAATAATTTAGCCGAAGATGTTATTTTCTATCTTTTTCTCGAGGCAATTTAGGATTATTTCTATCCCATCTATCATCATCATACCATAATGAATAATCATTTAACTTGTTATATTGACTTAATTTTGGAAAATATTTAAATTTAATTATATATTTACTTATTTCTTTGAAGATTTTGTTTATCAATATCACCCAAATATTTCGAAAGAATTACTTCATTATTTGATTTCTTTTTAATAATATCCTCTTTTTGATCATAACTTAATACAAAAATTTTATAGATTTAATTACTTTAATTCTTTCTAAACAGGGGTTGATTCTGAATTTTATATATTTAATTACAAAGGAAGAGTTAGTATATTATGATTTTATAAAAAAATGTTCATAAATTAAAAACAATAAATACATAATTTAATATCAAATATCAAACTCATAAGAAAAGTTTTATACATATCATCGGTATATTTTACTATATCCTTTGGAGAGAATTGTTCATATTTTCTACTTACCCTTTAACATTTTTATCATCAACCCCCAATTGTTCTTTTAAACGTTTACGTCTACTTTCCCAATCCTTATCATTAACATCTTTTTCTCTACATTTTGGATCACAAGTATCTTTACAACAACAATCCATATACCTTTTAATTTTAATTTAATAAAAATTAAAATATTTACCAAGAATAATCAGGATGGTCACAAATATATTCAAAAACTTTACAGTCTGAACGATAATTTTTGCAAACATCGTTTGATGGATTATTATTATAATAAATCACTGGATAATAATATTGTGGTTGCGGAACTATTTTAAATATTAAAAATTAAAATAAATTTTCAATTTTTGTTAATCATTGAGAATCTTTATTTATTTATAATTTAATTGTTTAAATTAAAAAGAATTTTCTAGACATTAAACTTCAATTTTAAAACCTTTTTCTACTCAAAATATTGTTTGAATAAAATAATGTCCCTCTCTCTAATAATTACCCCTGCCCTATTAATTACCCCCTATAGCCAGAGATCGAATAAATAATCACCCCTCTTAAAACTAGATATAATTAGCCTGTCTAAAAAAGTCAAATAATTACCCTCTCCATTTTAATTATCCCCTCCAGCGAGAGGTTGAAACATTAATTACCCTGGGTAATTATCTTAGCAAATACTGTAATTAAATTACCACTATAATATATCCATTGCCCAAAAATTTGTTCAAAATAAAAAAGAAATAATAAAATTTTTAAAAACATAAAGAATTTATTTAATATTTTATTAATAATTTTTAAAATTAAATATCAATATTGCCTTTCTAAATAATCAAAAATAAATTTTCGAAACTGTTATTTTATTTATTTAAACAGCTTTTAATAATTTTTTTGTTATTTCTTCATTATTTTTATTTTTCCTTTTTTTCTGGTGTTGTCTTGTAAAATGTCTAGTAATTAAAATTGAAAAACAAATTTCTTAAAAATATAATAATTCAAATAGTCGGTATTATTAAAAAGTCTGTAAATTTTTTGTACAGAAAGAAATAAATATATTTATGTATTTTGAAGGGTAAACTATGTAAATAAAGGAATAACCTAAATAATTTATACATACCTATACTGTAAAAGCTCTAATAGAAGCCCATTCCTAATAGAAGCCCATGCCCTATTAGAAGCCTACTCGATAAGGGGTATCGAAAAATACAAGCCAAAGGCTTTTTCTTACATTTAAATGGTTGGTTTTTTATCGGGGTTTGATTGAGTCGTTTTTATTATGTAAATAATCAAATATTTTTAAATTTATTTTAAATAAATATTCAATTATTTTTACAATTAAATCAAAAAATCAAATATTTTTTCTTAATTCCTTTCCATTTCAAAATGCCAAATTTTTCTTTCTAATTCAATAATTTTCCTTCTGAATAATTCCAATTCACGTTCTCTCGCAGCTAATTTATCTTTAAGTAAAACAATCCCAACAATTTCATTATCTTCTTTTAATAAAGATTTTTTATTAAAATCTTTCCCAATTTTAAATAAATTATTATAATCTTCGAGTAATTGGGAATGTTTTTGCTTTAATGAATTTAATTGTTCTGCTGTTTCTCTTTGATATAATTCTGCCTAGAAAAATTTAAATTAAAATAAAAGGATTTGGTATTTGACAATTTAGAAAATAATATATCGTAAATGATGAAATAATAACTCTCAAACAATTACCCTCTCTAATAATTACCCCCTAGTTATCTTACCAAACATTAAAAATATTCAAAAAAATTATGTTCAAATTTAATTATTGGAACATTTTAAGACTCACTATCAAAAAATAAAATACAGTTGGAAGCCTCTTGTAGAGGATACATAATTGTTTATTTTGGTTTTTTCGAGTTATGATTATTCTCTTTCAAAATATTTGGTAGATATATTTAAGGTAGACCTAATTTTAAAGGTTAAATTTCTCGCCACAAAGTCTTATAGCGAGGATCGACTGTAGTAGAAAATGATTGTTAAAAACCAAAAAATCTGAAATGCCGATGTCAACACAACTTTATATTTGGGACTTTTTTCATTATTATTGTAGCTTTTCCCCTTAATAATCAAAAAGACTTTCACTGTAATTTTTGACGAAATATTTAAAAAAATGATGGCAAATAAAATTAATTCATAATTATACTTAATAAATCTACCTTTCTTAAATCTTTAATTAAAGCTCTATTTTCATTTTTTAATTTTCTTTCCCTTTCCTCAACTTCAATAAATTTACTAAATTTATTTGTTTCATTTAATTGACTTTCTCTTAAAATATTAAATTCCCTTTCACTTTCCAAAAATGTTCTTGGTGTTGTTGGAGGAATTGAAACTGAGGGAATAATTAAATCGTCTGTTTGTGTATTTATTTCTTTTAATTCTTTTTTCTTTTCTTCTTTATCTTCAATTATTTGTTTTTGTGTTTGTTGTAATTGTTCGGATATTTTTAATTCATTTTGTTGTAAATGAGCAATTCTTTTTTGTAATGATTTGTTTTCCTGAAAGTTTTAAAAAATTTTTTGAGAGAATGGCGGGTGTTGAGATTTTAAATAAAGCCTTAATTAGGGAAAGGAAACTGGTTGAAAGGAACTGTGCTGGGTATTGGGCATTTGTTGGCTTCGGCTCCGAGCTTTTAAAATCTTAGCTCCGGCTCCAGGAGCCATGCCCAGTACTGGAAAGGAATATATTTACAACTAGAGTAAATTAAACTTTTGGTTATAGGTACCATACAATATGGAACCTCTAATAATTAAAGGTAAATTTGAAAGCGTTTTTGACTCCTCTAATTACATAAAAACACTTTAGGTATTCAAAACAAGCAGGGCTAGTTTTTTCAGAACTAATAAATCAATTTTTATTGACAGCTCCCCAAAATATATCTACATATGTACAATACCTTCGCTAATAAATCTAAACGATTTATTGCTTCAGAATATCGTGTATTTATTGCCTGTTTTTCTTCTTCCGTTCTAATTGTTTTCTTTGTTAATTCTTCTCTTTCAATTCTCCATTGACGTAAAGCTATATTTAATTTATCATTATCAGCCAATTTATCACTTTGTACTCGCCCCATTTGTTCAATATGTCTTTCTCTTCTTTCTAATCTTTCATGTAATTCGCGTTCACGTGCCTCTGCTTCAGTCAAACGTTTACGTATGTTAGCCATTGCTTGTTCATGTTTTTTTCGAGTTTCCCAAAGTTCTGCACCTGCCTTTTATTAAATTAAAATATAGAACTTTTAAATAAGAAAAAAAGTTTTCTTTAACACGCTGAGAACGACCACTTACATACGCCCGTGCCTAGAAAAGGAACAGAATGTGTCGAAGCTGGTCTTAAAAAGAGTGTAGGGATTCCTAGAGCATTTAAAACGCTTAGGAAGGATTAAACAATTAAAAGGATAAAAGAGAATGCATTAGTCCTCGGTAGCTCTTTGGTAGAGCACCTGCAATTGTGTGAGCAAGGCCGAGCGAGCACTGTCAGCGTTGTCGCAGGTTCGACCCTACCCGGTGGCTAAACTTTTGCTAAATTCTTTATAAAGAAAAGCACAAAAGGCGAAAATTGCCTATATTTTAATTAGAGAATGTTACAGGTGGATGACCAAAAAAGTTATTGTCCGATAAGAAATTATAACCAAATTTTAATTTACTGCATTCAAAAACTTCTAAATTTCCATTTTAACTACCTTGCTATGTATTTCAGCACGTCTTAAACGTTCTTTTAATTGTTCAGCTTCAGTTTTTAAAGTTTCATTTGATTTATTTAATAAAGAATTTTCTTTTAATATTCTATTATTTTCTTTTTTAAGTGTTGTCTCTATAGCGCTAGAATCTACAGAACGGAGAGGCCTAACAGATATTCTGGACCTTTCTCTAAGAGAGTTATATTCCTCTGATAACTCCTTAAAAATTAAATTTAAATTTTCCAAAATTTAATTTTTTCTTGCCTTATTTCTCCTTTCCAATTCAATTAAACGCATTCTTAACCGCCTTGTCTCATTTCGATGTTTCAAAACTAAATTCTCCAAATCATCTGGTTTTCTAATTTCTGTTCTAGTAGGAATTGTTCGAGTAGCGACTGTGCTGCTTTTACTTCGAGTTAATTTTTCTGAAAATGATTACATAGAGTTTAGAATATAGCCAGACCTCAACTCTAGATAGATACAAATTTAGATATACGTCGATTTATGATGCGTTTTTAAAATTTAGTTAGCCAATGTATGGGGGAGGGATATTGTCTAAATGATACCACTACTCTCCATTTTAAATTTAATTTTTCAGCACCAAGAGAGTAATTAAAATCATAATCTAATTGAATTACTCTTGAGATAAAATGACTTGTTAACAGAAATAATGGACTAAAGCAAATGCAGAAAATTTAAATTAAATTACCAGAGCCTGAAATAATACTTTTTCTTCTCCTTCCTCTATTTTGCCCAATATCATCCACTACAGTACCAGAATCTGAACTTCCAGCCCCACTGACTTCCCCTTCTGTTTTGTCTTCTTCTGTTTGGCTTTCTCTTCTTGTTTCTTCCCCTTCTTCTTGATCATCTTCATTATCAGATTGTGGGGGTATTGGGGATGAAATTGGGGATGGATTTTTAATTAAATCTTCATTTTTTGGTTGATTTTGCTCAATTTCCATTTTATTTGTTGTTTTTTGTTTAGCAATTTTGGTAACATCAAAATTTACCTAAACTAGTAAAATTAGTCAAATAAAAATTTTTATAAAATCGGACCTCCCTTGTAAGCAGAGGTGGGTCGGAATTCCGAGTTCCGAAAAAAAATTTGATTTCCAATTTCCGACTTTTGAGCCAGTTCCGATTTCCGGCTCTTCCTATTTCCGACACCTCTGACTGTTCCGATCCACCTCTGCTTGTAAGGTATAGAATTGAAAAATTTGGAGTTTATGATGCTTAAAGGATGCTTAAAGGGGAGGTACCGCTTAGTCACCCTGTGGTCAATAAAATAAAAAAATATAGGTACCTCAAAGTAAAATATTTTGAGGAGGTCCGATTATTTTTAAAAATTACTTGTGTTTGTATATTTTTTCGATTTCTAATTAAATCTCTTTGTTTATTCAAAATATCCACAAGTCTTTTCCTTTCATTTTCTAATTCAGAATTTTCTGTTTCCAATAAACGTAAACGTCCCTCAAGAGAATTTATTCTCCTTTCCCACTGTTCTGACCGCGATTCTTCAATCAAAACTTCTTTTGAAGTTTTGAGAGGATTTTGAATTTTTGTTGGTAAATTTTCTTTTGATTCTTGTGTTGTTTCTATCAAAGGTTTTTGTTGCTCATTTTTTAATTGTTCAACCAATTCTCTATATTCTTTTAAAGTTTTTTCTTTAGCTTCTAATTGCTCCTAGAAAAATTTCAAAAAAAAAATTAAATTAAAAAATAATTAATTTACTTTATAAGAATTAACAATTAAAATTGCTTGTTCTTTATATTTATTTAAATATTCCTCCCATTCCACATTGTTGTTTAAAACGATTAAACGTGTTTTTTCAGAAAGGTCATTATTATTTATATTTTTATCTTCAAATAAATTAGAAGTAGCGGCAGAAGAAGGCAAAACTTGAAATTAAAAATGTAAAATAATAATTTTTAGAATATTCTTATGTGGGGAATTTAAAATGGAGAAGAAAGGAGAAAATAAATAAAGGAAATTAAAATTGTTAAAAATAAATTTATCCTAGTCAGAATTGTAAAAAAAATTTTAGAAAATAAACAGGCCACTAATATCGAGATTCAACTTATTTAAAAAAAAGAATAACCGCTACTTTTCCGTTATACGACCGCAAATCAAGTACCAGTCGACTTTGATCGGCTGACACTTTATTTGCTGTTTGGCACTCAATTTGCAAATTATTGGTATAACTTTCTAAGGAGGTGGAAAAAGATAGTACATCTTATCGAGGGCTTTCGAATGCTATAAAATTCATATGTATTGGATCAAGCATCAAAAAGTTACAGTCGATCAAAGTCGGCTGGCATTCAGTTTGCGGAGTATAAAGGAAAAGTACTGAATAATTTGTTTATAAATTCAAATAAATATTATTAATTACCTTTAGGTTGAATACTCGAATTAATTAATTCTTTATTATTATCTTCGTTTAATGTTTCTTCTTCTTTTCTAATTTTCTTATTACTAGAAATGTTCTGTTCTAGTTTCTTTAAATCAATTCCCAAAACAAATTGAAATTCGTTTAATTCTGATTTTAATTCTTCAATTTCTTTTGTTTTAAAAAAGATTTCCTTCTCCGAATTCTCTAACTAAATTTAATTAATTTGAAATGAAATTTAAATACTAAAAAATTAATTAATAATGGAACATTTCATAGAGAACCACCAAAAATTTATAAATAACCAGGCTTATATCTGGAACAGTCAGCCTTAATAATGGAGTAATAGAAAGAAAATAGTAAAGTTATTTTAACTACTATTATCATATAACATGTATTAATTGCCCTCCCTCAAATAATTACCCCACTTCCATTAATTACCCCATCCAACGATAGATTGAAACAATAATTACCCCCAAATGCCTTAAAACACGTTCAAGTTTCAAACCTCGAATAATTACCCTCCTCCGATTAGTTACTCCCTCCAGCGGAAGTCGAAACAATAATTACCCAGGGTAGTTATTAAAGGATATACGGTATATGCTTTACATTAATTAAAAATTTAATTTCAAAAATCTTTCCAATCCTTTTTACCCTTTGTTTTGTTCTTTGTAATTCAGCAGATAAACTAAGAACATTTAATTGATATCCTTGTAATGACTGGTTAATCTGTTCCAATTCCCAATTATTTTCCATTATCGTTTCAAATGCCGAAATTTTTGAATTTTTTAAATTTTCTTCATTTTCCAAAGCCTTCTCTTTTTCTTCATTTCTTTTTTCTTTTCTTTGTAATTCAATTTCTTTTTCATTAATATTTCCTAATTTATTAGCTAAAGCTTCCAATTGAGATGTGGAAATTGGAATGTTTTGAAGAATTCTTTCCCGAAGTAATTTTTGTATTGTTGAATACATTTGACTTAAATATTGAACAAGTGATTGACGTTCATTTAGCCATTCTTCACGTGATTCTCTTGAATAAAATAATTAAAACAGTAAAGCAGCTATTTTTCTCCTTTAGCTAGTGCAAAAGGTTAATCGGCGGCTGGGTGCGAACCAGCATCTTCAGTAGACCGGACTGATGTGTTAGCCATACACCACGCCGCTTACTGCATATACTTAGCAATTAAATAGCTATATGAAACTCTTCGGGCAAAAATTATGATATAAAAACTAATTAAACTTTTAAATTTTAACATTAAATATTCTTCAAATCAGTCTTCTTTTCTGTGTTTTCTCCAATGTTCTTCATTACTTTTGTGTCGACTCCAAATCAACAGAAACAACGATGGAAGGCATTATTTGTATTGGTGGTTCTCTTGGCTAGTGGAATTCGGGTTGGGTTGTTTTTTTATAAACTTTTCTCATAAAAGTTTTTTTAGTGCTCGGGCGAAGAGAATCCGGCAGGACAGGTAATCGAGAATCCGGAAAATCCAACAGAACCTCCCTCAGAGCTGCCTACCGTTCCAGGAGATAATGAAATAACGACTTCAGAATTGACAACTACAAATAGTACTGTGGAGGAGAGCACCGATAAGGAAGAGACTACAAAAGCTGATGAGGAGACCACTACCACAACAACTGTTGGATCGGTCTCTAATGAAACAGCGTCGTCTAACGAAGAAACAACGACTACAACAGCCGGGCCAACAGTAGTGGTGGGAGGAACGAAGAAGAGCAATAATACAGCGATAATCCTCATTGTAATAGCTATATGTGCCATCTTGGTGTAAGTATTTTTGAATTGGGATAGGGGGCATATTGGGGCAAAATAAGGGGCTTGATTTGTGAATATTCAAACAGGGTCATGGTTTTTGATGCAGGATCCTCTCCAAAAGTTTCCGAACTACTCCTCTAATAATTTTCTAAACTTTTAGCATTCTTGCTGCAGGATTTCTGTTGTATAGAATTCACCATGTCCAAACAAAGATGGAATCCAGTAATATAATGGCGGCTTCGGTGCGCGACAAAAAGAAAAGCAAGGAAAAGAATAAAGGCCCCCAAAAAGATGCAAAACACAAAGGAAGTCAGGAGTCGGGGAAAACAAAGCCTTCTGGCTATGAACGTGTTAAATAGATATATGTAATAAATAAATAGATACTGTTGTTGTTAATTACTTGTATATGTTAATGCCTATTGTCTTATTTGAAATAAAAATTTGTTGAGTAAAAAATATTTTGGAATTTTAGTTTTAAATTGTAAGGAAGTGAAAGATAGCATTTAAAACGCTCACTAGGCGGGGGTTTAAGTATTAAGAGATAGGGGAGTGCAGCGTCCCGGTAGCTCAGTTGGTAGAGCACCGGTAAGTGGTGAGCGAAAGCTTTTAGCAATAGTAACTGCAAGGAGGTCCCAGGATCGAAGCCTGCCCGGGATTAAACTTTTACCTCGCTCTTACTAAATTAAATAATTTAAGTACCTAAATTTACGTTCAATCCTCCTTAATTCATTTTGTAAACTTTCTCTTTCCTCTGTTGCATCGAATTGCTCTCTAATAGCATGAAGGAATCTTCTTTCAATATTGGCAACTAAAAATTATTTAAAAAACAAATTTATTTATTTAATTACGCATAGATTTTAATTCAGTTTCAGCTTCCAAATCGTCCAGAAAAGCATTCATTTCAGCTAATTCTGTTTCCGTTTTCCTTTTCTCTGCTTTTAAAGACTCATTCTGTCCAATTAGAATTTCATTAATTTCTTCTAATTTTTTATTCTTCAATAAAAGTTTATTTATATTTTCATTATCTCCAAATAAAAGTCCAGATTTTGAAATATTTATTTTATTTAATTGAATATATTCTGACTCCTCTTCATCTTCCGAATTTGTTTTTAAACTTGAATTTGTTGCAGAATAATAGCCAATATCTGGGGAGGAAGTTAAAAAACGTTCTCTAAGTATTCTTTTGTGTTCACGTAAAAGGCAATTATATTCGTTTAGAGGGACAGAATGGAGTAAAGCATTCTAGATTAGTAAAGAATTTTTATTTTAATGATAGTGTAAGGGGAAGGAACGGACATCTGGAAGGATAAATAGAAGGATAAACAGATATCCCAATAAGGTATTGTTAAATGGTCATATTTTTGGAAAAAATTTTTTACATTACTTACCGTATATACTCTATTAATTACCCTCCCTCAGATAATTCAACCAACCTCCCTCAAATAACCCTCCTCAATTACCTCCTTCAGCAAAAGGTTGAATTAATAATTACCCCTTGAAAATAGTTATATTATAATTAGCCTTCTTAAAATAACCTCTATTAATTCCCCCGTCTATTAATTACTCCCTCCATAGGAGACTGAAACAATAATTACCCAAGGTAATTAATAGAGTATATACGGTAGGTAACTAATCCTTGAATTTGTTGCAGAAGTATAAGTGAGTTATTGTAAAGTATAAGTGAGTTGATTAAAAACACTGGAAAAAACATACTTGAAGCCGAGCTAATTCAAATATTTTTGCTTCATTCTCAAAGGCTAACTGACGACTACGTGATTCCTATTAAATATTCTTAAAGTATATCAAATTGTTTTTAAATAAAAAAATTTTTCAAAATAATTTTACATATTTTCTAAAAATAGTTTTTCTTTATTAAAATTCAAAATTAATTTTTTTTAAAAATATTCCCACCTCGCCAGTAAGCAATCTACAAAGCCTGTTACGCATTTGAGATAATTCTTTTTTAATTATTCAAAAATATTTATTTATTTATTCATTAAAAACCTTCACACATTGCCTGTCTCAAACGTGCACTGATTTTAACACGCCTTTCAAGTTTTCCTTCTCTAATAGCTAAATATAAAAGACGGCGTGCTTCTTCTGTCATTCTACGTTCTTTTTCATTTCCTGTTTGGGCAAGATTTTCAAAAAATCTTTTTAATTCAACATTCTCTATTTCTAATTCTTCCAAATGTTCACGTGATTTCATCTAATAAGAATTTTTTTAATTTTGTTAATTGTGAAAGAAAAGGGAATTGAGGTGGAATACAGCCAAAAAAAACCTCAATCTTAGATAAATACTCATTTGAGGGTTGAAAGAATTGTGCCCTTATAATATCTTAAATTGGGATGGAAGTATAGTTCAGGCATTCTCTCTACACAATAACCAACTACTAGGTCGTTTCATAAAAAAGTTCGTTTTTTGTTATCACTTATTTTTTGAGTGTAACTATTTTTATCAGATTTTATTTTTATCTTATTTTGTAGCCCTGAATCTTAGCTTTATAATCATACTAAAATTTTAAAATAGAAAAGCCCAAAAAATTTATATGCCTTTAGAAGTGAGCGTGGATAAAGTTAATATTCAGGAGCATTTACACATCAGATTAAAACAAAGTAATAATGCAATGCTGGGAGCAAGATAAATTAATGAAACACTAGGCACGGATGTGGTCTAACCTAATGCTGCTCAAAAATATTTAAAAAAAATTTTATTTAGCGAGCGAAGGACCAAACGCAAATATGGGTCGGGAAGGCAAAAAAAATAAAAAATGAAATTCAACTTGGGGGTGTTGAATACAGGAGCCTATACGGGGATTTAAATAAATAATTATTTTAAATTATAACCTCATTAAAAATATAATTATTATTATTTTCCAAATTATCTAATTCTTCTAATGGATCTTTATATTCTTCTTCTTTTTCATTATTTTGATTACCAAATAAAATTATTTCCTTTACAGAATTTAATTCTTTACGAATATTTTCTTCCGATTTTTTAGCTTCAAATAAATGACGCCCTCTTTCTTCATAAGATTTCTCTAGATTTTTAATTTCTTTATTTTTCTCTTCAATCTCCTTTTAAATTAATTAATTAGAATTTTAAAAAGATTTCCCAAATATTCCCTTCCCATAATATTAAAAAATTAAGCCTAGTATTGAAAGAGGATTGGATTTATTTTTATGGGGGTTTTTGTCAAATTTCTTTTGTGTGCTAACAATAAAAGACTGGGGACGTTACTTGCCCAAATCGGCCCCAATAATGTTTTTATTTATGTACATAAATACTTTCACCTCAATAAGTAGACCAAGTTCAGTGCTTAGAGCACTAATTGTCGTTGCTTCTTCAATTATTTTGTCTTTACTTAATCTTTTTCTCTTTAATTGTTTTGGCCTTTCTACTTCAATTTTAACAAATTCTTCTTCCTTTTCTTCCTCTTTTTCATCATCTTCCATCCATTCATCTACATATTCTTCCTCCTCCTCTTTTTGTTCTTCTTTTAGAATTTCTTCTTTTTCTTCTTCCTTCAATTTAACTTCTTTCTTTTCCTCTTCTTTTATTGTTTTATTATCTTCTTCAGAAATTATTTTCTTTTCCTTCTCAAAAGATTCTCCTTTAAAATTAAAAGAATATTTTTTTAAACTTTTATTTAATTACTTTTTTCCGTAAGCCTTTCAACTTCCAAATACAATTCTGAACATTTTTTCCTTAATTTTTGTATTTGTTTATCTCTAAAATTTAATTGTCTTTCAATTTTCTTCATTTCCAAATCTCTGTCGCCAAAAGCTATTTTTCTATATCTTTGACAGTCAGTCATTAACCGGACAGCATCCAACTCTTTTTGTTGTAATAATTCTTCTAATTCGACTTGATGACGTTGTTCTTCCAAATATTTTTTTTCTGATCGAGCTAATTCTTGGTCCATCTTTTTTTTCGAAATTTTAAAAATTATTTCTTTAAAGTCCGTTAAGAAATTATTTTCTTAACCTTCGTATTAATTTAAGGAAGAAGACGGGGGTCTAAGATCTATTATGTAAACTAGACGGGGCCCCCGTCCCCCGTCGGGGACTAACCCTAATGTAAACGAGAAGATAAATCGGTCATTAGCTCCTGTAGCGCAGTTGGTGTATAACCTGTACTTGGTGAGTACAAGCTACTAGCAATAACTGCCGCAGGATTGATAGTACTTGCCCTAAACTAAACTTTTACCTCTCTTACAAATATTCCAAAAATGCTACAAAATTTAAGCATTCCCATTAATATTGAAGAGGGTAATGGGAAATTATTTCCAAAAAAATATTGACAGACTTTAACAATTTATTATTAAAATACCTGAATTAATCTAATTCGTAATTCAGAATTTGTATTATCTGTAACAACCAAATTATTATTTTCCTCCTCTACATCTTCAGCAATTTCATTTCCAAATAATCTTTTAGCAGTTTCTGTCGCTGCTATTAATTCTTGACGTAAATTATCTAGCTCTAATTCTTTTTGATGAATATCCGGTTCTGTTGCTAATATTTCTGTTGATAATCGAAATTGTTCAATCTCCAACTTTTAAAGGATTTTTTTTAGAAAAAATTTAAAAAAAACTTTTTGATTTTGTATTTGATTTCGTAATCTTTCAATTAATGCATCCTTTGATTGTAGCACTTCAGCCAATTGCCTGTTATCTAATTCTGCTGCATCTACTTTACGTTTTGCTTCCTTAATTATTTTACTAATTATTTTAATTAAATTTAAAAGGAACACCAATTCTTTATTTTCAATTAATTCTCTCAATTCTTTATTATCTGTCCCCATTTTCTCAAGTTGATGTTCTGCTTCTGACAATTGTTCATCAAATTCAGCAAATTTAAAAGCATTTTCTTTTACTAATTCTGTTGCTTGTTCTAATGCTTGACTTAGGCGATCAGCTTCTGCTCTGAGTTCATCATTTTGGGCAGCTAGTTCTCGAACCTTCAGATTTATTAAGGCTTTATTCAGCTATGTACTTATTATTTTAACCAAACGTCCTATTTACACCTTAATTTAAGGTAAATTTTTTAAAGTGGAGTGGGGTTGAGAAGCTGTCTAAGGATACGCCTAATTATGGGCATACGTGATTCTAAATTTAAAAATCCAAGAAAGTATGTAAAACGAGGTTACAAGGAAATTACTTATACATATTAGGCAATATTATAACAAATTTTGAAGATAATTACTTGTTCACTAAGGATAAGTGCTTGCTCATCTCTTTGTTTTAATTTGCTAGTTTCCCATTTCTGGTCACGCTGTATAGACTCACTTCTAGTATTCATCCTCCTATGTAATTCACGAATATTTTCTTCTAATTGAATTTGCTTTAATTTTTAAATTTTTACAAATTATCAATTAATTAATTTACATTATTAGCAAGTAAAGCCCTTTCTCTTTCAATACCCAAAGCTTTAATATCCAAATTGTTTGCTCTTTCTCGTTGTTCATTTAATTCTTTTTCAAGTTCATTAGATTTTCGTTTTAATTGCAAATTTTCTTCTGCCAAAGCATCAATTTCTGCTCGAAATGCTTCGTGTAAATTATTAACATTTAATGAAGAAGAAAAAGTATTTTTTTGTTCTCGAAGAGTGTTTAACTCATCTTGGAGTGTCTCACGTTCAGTCTCCCATTTTTGTTCCTGTTCTGCTGCACTAGCTATTTCACGTTCCACAATTTCCTTTTAAAAAATTAATTTAAATATCTGTTAAATTCTATACTTTTAATTCATTAGATTGTGTATGTTCCCATTGCATTAGTAAGTGAACAGCACGAAATATTCCATATAAATCATCAACAGAAAGGTTGTTTCCTTCAACAGCATCTAACAATTCATCTACTGAAACCTTTAATTTAAAATAATTTTTTTTCTCTTTAGATTTTTTGAATTTAGATTGGGGGAAATAATGAGAATTAAAGATTTAGAAAAATTATTAAAATTTTTATTTTTCCTTTAATTACCTTAGATAATAACAAATACCAATGCTGCATTTGCTCTAAATCTCCAAGTTCAATAGCTTCAACCAAAGGACCTGTACCCCCTTCATCTAGTGCTGCTAGTAACCCACTAATTCCATTTTCTGTTAAAAAAGAATTAGTAGACGTTCCTTCCATTTTCTCTCAATTCTTATTAATTAAAGATTTTTAAAAGAAATATTTTCATTATAATTTAGTGGATATTTAATAATTTACAAAAATTTATTAGACAAAAATAATAGAATATTTTCTTTTTTTTTTATGTTTTTGGTTAGGAAAAGCATAAATACTTATTTAGTTTATGTTGTCATGGAAATATAGTTATTTTGAATATTCTTTTAATAATCTCTACAAATAGAAGATAAAAGGGATTTAAATAAAAATTTAGTTAAAAAATATTAATTTTGGAATTTTAAATTTGATTTAGTAAAATATGTATAAGGTAACCGAAGATTTTCCCTGTATTTTGTAGCGATTATATGAATAAATAAATAAAAATAAAATCTAGAGGAAAATATAATTATAAATTCTTTTTTTATTTAATTGTATTAAAATTAAATATTAAGGACAATTAAACCTTCAAAACTTTTTTATCCTAATTTAACTTATTTTTTTAGAATATTTTTATTATTTTAATATTCGGGGGGTTTTTATATTTTTGATTTAAAAATTTATTTAATTATTAAAATATTAGAAATTTATATCTTCTTGAATAAATAAAAGTAACAAAAAAAATTAATTTAAACTGATCACAAAAAAACCAAAAATCATCCGAAATTATAATCTCTAGCCCTCTCATCTTTCAATCAAAGCATTAAAAGCATCAACTTTATTTTAAGTTTAGTAGAATGATTGCTACAAAAATTATTTCATTATTTTTATTTTTTTATTTAAATTTTGTCATCCTTCAAGGAATACCACAACCAGAACCTCCATACGAGGACTTTATTCTTCAATATGAATATTACTCGATGAATAATGTCGAAATTTTTAATATTCCTTTACACATAAAAGGTATAAATTAAACTGAAAGTATATGTTTAAATAGCTAAATACAGCCGGGCCTCCATTGTGGATAGCCCATGGGACTAAACAATTTCTCTTAGGTCGGGGGTGTCGTTTAGGCAGTTTCCTCATCCTAAAAAATTTTTTGAAAAAGGAATTAATTTTAAGCTTTAAATTTTTTGTTTAATATTTAAATTAAAATTTCTATA